TCTCTATGTTCGTGTTGTTTTTTGTCTGTGTCTAGGTTTAGGGGTGAATTTTCTATATAGATTTTATCAATTAGCATATTAGACAGATCTTCTATTGTTTAAAACATGAATAAAAAAGATTGTAAGTTGTAGATTTTATTTCTACATTCCTCTCAATTTGTGCATTTCAAATTCAAACTCAAACACATGTGAAAATAGTATATCAGATCAACCTTTTAACTCCCGCACGGTTGGGATGTCCGATGATAAACAAAAATTGAACTTATTAGGTGTTTATGAATATCGGCCATATGCAATGTTAGGAAGGAGGTTTAAAGAAAACATTTTATGAAAAGAATAACGTATTTTTCGGAATGATTCGTTCGTTCATTATTTGCAAAACAATTTTTCTTTTTTACAAATCTGTACGTTGTTGGTTCTATGCATCACTGCTTGAGAAATCAACACTGCCTTTTTGCCCTATAAGCTTTATACCAAGTAATGATAGATAAACACGGATAACAACACTGTTTAAAACCAATATAGATTAGGCTTAAATGTTATCGATTTCCGTGTTAACCTAGAACGATTAAATAGATTCGGAAAGCTGAATAAAGTTTATGTTATTGTTTGTAGCATCACTGTTAAGGATTGTAATTCATTATAAGAATGTGTCATGACTAATTGTTGTTTGTTGGTGTTTTATTAATAAATGTTATAATGTATTTAAGCCATTTTATTAGATGGTTATGAAGCTGATGTAAAAACGGCGAATAAAACCTGTGTGTTGTTTCTTATTGTTTATGTAGTGAATTGTTGTTAAATGATGTTTTTTTTTCTTATGTAACTAGTAAGTATACGATTGGTAAACATGACTAATGTTTTCCATCGCTAGTAGTAATTCATATTAACGTACTGATTAGTTGTTAATGAAAGGTGAAGGTTAAAGTATCTAAACATATTCATAATTCCTGATAAATAATCTTATACTGCCTGATAATTATTACTTTATTAAATATTTTGAAAATGGTTGGAAATTGATTGAAAAAGATGCATATAACAACATTCTCTGTAGAAACTACTAGCACATGGAATATGGTTGACGTGTTTCAGGTCATAGTTGATTCATGATTATCACAGAAGAAAGTACAGGAAAATGGTTCGAAATGGCTAAGATATTAATTAAATATCCAATATGTTGTCCCGATAAGAGATGACTTATATCACAAACACATATTATTTTGAGAAATATGTAAAAATCGCTGAAAATAATTAACCATAATTACCCACCTGAATCGTAAAGTGAAAAAAGCTGACTTCAAAAAGATATCAATTAATAAGCACTAGATATTTTTCAAGCGATTACATTTCTTCAAACTTTAAGTTTCATCTTTTTATTAAAAAACAAACAAACAGAGAACAAATTTTATCACTAATTAAAAGAAAATCGGTCTTTTATGATTATCGCTCAAGATACTTCTCACAGCCGTACTAAAAACATAATTTGAAATAGGCTAAAGAAGAATCTTACTCGAATCATAATTTTTATTCTTCTCTATAACAAGAAGCGCCATTCTATTTATATCTGTCGTGAAATTATTGATGCTTGGAATTCTTTACATTACATATTCTTGAAATTAGCTTTTGGTTTTTATAATTAAAAACATTAGGTTGTTTTGTTAAAAGTACTGTATTCAATTTATGATTAATTTATGTTACATTTAAAATAGAGCGTTGAATAGAAACTCATTTCTAATCTAGCTTTGGGTCTCTAGAACCTTGTTTCTTAAAAGCCTGAAACAAACTTCTTACAGATTTCAAAAGTTCTTTGTTTCTTTTCTTTTCTATTTACAAGAAATTAAGGAAAAACGTTTAACATACTGGACAATTACACCTGAGTGCTGTTTCACTTTAGTCATGTGCATGTTTCGCATGCCATGATAAAATAATACACAGTTGTTTTGGCGAACCAATTCATCTTTAAGTTGATAAACGTGGTAACTGTTAGAACTATTAGGATGCTTGAAATAAAGCAGTCACGGAGATAAAGTTGTAGTTCATTTCTGTGTATGCTTTTCTGTGGTAGAAAACTTGTCTGCTGATTACACTTCAATTATGTCACATAATTACTGCTCTTTGAACAACGTAGTCTCCAGGAATCATTATTTTACAGTCTATAAGCTCAATATGGACTTCAGAACAGCAGCTGAAGAAACGATTGGTAACCAAATGAGAACAGTTTAAGATCAAGCACTACTTGAGCATTGTGTTTTACTACGAAACACAGCTTCATTGAAATTTTTAGAGGTTACCAAATTTGGTAGCAAAGTTGTGATGGAACTAAACAAGAAATGCTGCTTGTGAGGCACCAATTGCAAGATGGCATAATCTGGAGAGTTTTTGCCATCTGACACATTACATTGAATATTATGTTATGACGACATTTCGGGATACTTTTGGTCCTCACTTCACTACAACCTCAAGCAGTTCTAATTTTGATTTTACAGTAATAAAACCCAAACCCATAAGTACCACAACGACCCATCGTTAATGTCACACAATCTCCATGTAATTACATAGTTATGTTCATGGTACCAATCTTTTCAGAGCAGAATTAAGCAGTATGGTATCAAACACTAAAATATGAATACAAGAAAGAAAAATATATACAGAAATCAACGACATATTAGCCTGAATACAAATATACAATATGTTCTCCAAGATACCAGTCATCGAACCACACTGGATTCTAAACTAGGAATTATAAAACAAAACAAACCTGACTTAACACTCTCCCCTGAAATAATTATGAAAGCTTACTAATCTCTGCACGAACAGCATTTACTTCTTGATAAAATGCTAATTTTGTGAACAAAGTATAGGCTTGATGATGGGGTCACCTCTCTCTCCTATTCTAGGCAATATATTTATGAACATCTTTGAAAAGGAATCGTTTAACACTGCTAAGAAACAGCTCAATTTATAGTAAAATACATTGACGATTCTTTAGTCATCTGGACTCGTGTTACTCAAACAGTTGAAGAATGTTTAACCCTCACCAATTTTTAGAGACCTGGATATAGAATTCAAAATGGAATTTGAAAAAGAAAAAAGAACACTTCCTTCTCTAACAAAGACAGTCCATCGTCATGACGATCACTTGTTAATCAGTATCTTCAAAAACCCAACTCACACTGACAAATATCTCATCTACAGATCAATCGATCCTCAATTAGTGAAATAATTCATAATATACCGCCTCTTCAGGAGAATAAAAAAATAAACCTACACTACAAGCATAAATATAGCACCATCGTTGGAATCAACGGATACTCAACAAACACCATTAAACAAGCTATTCACAACAAAAGAACAGCCAATAAACGCTAATAAAACCGCTCTGCAGCATGACTCTCTCATTTATACTAAAACTCAGAACTACTGTATTCAGAAGATCTGCAAGAAACACAGAATTGAAATCCGCTTCAAATCAGCCAGAACCATTCGCAGCATATTAACCAAAGGCAAACAACCAAAACACAAATTATTATGTAAATACCATGAAATTATGGAGCAAAATACATAGGGGAGACAAGTAAACATTTGGTTTAGTTGTTCTTAAGCTCAAAGGCACAAAATGGGTTATCTGTGCTCTGACTACTACGAGTTACGAAACCCGATTTTAGCATCGTAAGCATGCAGATTTATATCTGAACCACTAGGGGGGCAAGCATTTGGAACAACGTTGGAAAGAACATAATAACGCCATCAGACTAATGGAGAAATATATATCCACCGTTGCAGAACACAAAACAGAAATGGAATGTACCATGAACTGGAAAAAATATAGAGCTATTAATTGAGAGAAAGGATCTACAAAAGGAAAAGAGCCACAACGTCGTTACCTACTATCCTTGTATTAAATCTGATATTTTGCTCAAATCACACATATTCTTACTTGTTAGAATTGGTAAGTGATTGAGAGTACCACAAACATTTCAACCATTGCACAAAAATTACTGAATTAAAAACTCACTTAAACTATTTACAAACATCAAAATAAGTTACCTGGTCAAAACTAGTTATTAGCTTAGTTGTATATTTTATTTTCTGACTACGATCATGATAAAAACAAATGCTGAACTTTCTTTGACTAAGCAAAAAGAACTAGCCAAGCGTTCCGTCATGAAATTATAAATTCGGTTGAGTAGTTTCTAATAGTTTATTTTTCAATAAATATTTAGCAGCACAAACTAGTTTCTAGTCAAAACCTGATGTATTTTATGGCAACGGAGGCTTTGCAAAAGTGACAGTTGAATTCTATAGTACACGGTAGCCCAAGAGTAGATGTAGGTTATGCGGTCTAATTTTTTTTTCATTTAGCCTTTCTATTCAAATTTAGGGAAGGCTATACGAAAATAAGTTTTGTGTAGCTTTGCGCAAAATTCTAAACAAACAGACAAACTCTGTATAATCTTCCACTTGTAGTTTTAAAACTTCATTTCCAATTATTTATCTATAACCATATTTAAGAGTGATGAGGAGTGATTGATGTAGCAATTTGTTTTCTGATGAAGAACGGCCTACCTTTCGTAAACGTTCAGTTTATAGAGTTTACAATTTTGATATAACACTGGGATATATAAGCGAATAGTTTTTCAAATTGAGACGAAAATAATTATTAATATTTGATTATGAAATTAGGGTAATTCGACTCTGTGATGATTTTGGAATGGAAAAAGGTCTGTATTAGTATAACTCAGTTAATTTGTTCCCAATGAAAATGTTAATGAATTTAAGTAGAACTGTTCTTGGATCTTAGTTATATTAAAAATTAATTAGTTTGGTTGGTGTTGATAACAAACGAATTTACAAAACTAAGTATAATTATCTTCAAGTATAGATTTCCTTGAATATATTCATAGACAATTTCAGTTTTAAACTGAATTTTAAAGTGTAATGAGAAAATATTGAAATAAAATGCAAGGCAAAAACATTTATTGTGCAGAAACATGGGAGAGATTTATTCTGATAAAGTTATGATCTGTAATTGGGTAAAACAAACACCCATAGATATATTATATATATATATATTAAATATATTATTGTGGAATCAGATAAAAGTTTATACGAACAATATTTCTGTAACCAAGAGATGTCTGGCGAAATAAAATAATTTGCTTAGTATAATTTCTTAAAGTCATGTCACTCTATCATTTTCTCTGTGCCTGTGTGAGAGTTCCGAAATGCTGCTGCAACAGAAGACAGGAAATTTTGTCAAGAAAAATAATCAAATAATATAAAATGTTGTAGAAGACGAAAGTAGAAGCGCCCTGTTATCTAGTTTGAGATTAATAATTTCGTTTGGGTGATAATATCTTGAAAATTGCGCTAACATTACGCCGTTCAGAGTAACAATAGTTTCATTAGGTGCAAGAAGTATTGTAGCATGGTAGCAAAATCCAGGTTGAATCATTTTCCCTTGAGAACTGGAGGAGTCGTAATACACTTTTTGCACTACAGAGCTCATGCTTGTTCTATAAGCTACATCAATGCCATGGAGAGTTGGATGTATTTTTAATCTAAGCAATAATATATTCTCATGGAGCATTCCAACGAAGTAGGCCCTAAATATACAGAGAAAAAAAATCAGTGTTTATGCTGTAAGTAAAACGCTGATTTCATAATATAGAAAATCGCTTTATACTAGATGTCGTAAACCCAATGCTTAATGTATTAGGAACGTAACAGGAGATGTGAAATTCATAAAATGAAGTAAATGTTTGAAGTACATCGATGAAGCTATAATTGAACATGCCATTCATTTAAAAGTAAAATCTGATTTACACCTTTTATGAGTGCAAAACTAGGGTTAGTCGCGTTTATGATAAAAGGAAATTCAAGAATTCAGTCTGTTACGTCATTGGAAATATTAAAAGAAATGTCAACATAATTATATTTATTAATTAATTTTTTGGTATATTACATTGTCCATCATAATAAGGACTTCCCGAATATACAGCAACCACTTTCATCAGAATTTGCAGGTTTTAAGAAATAAATTAGTTTAAAATGAAAAATTACAAACAATTACAACAGCTGAATTAAATAAATTGATTTTATTTTTGAAAGAAACTTACGAATTTTTATCTAAAAAATCTTCATTGTTCAGACAAAAATCAGACACCACAATATCATTCTCTTGGAGGATTCTGGGATTCTCGTAAAATCTTTGGAACACGTAAGACCACCAGTCAGTTGGTCGGAGTATCTAAAAATATATAAAACTGTCGGCATTCCAATAATTATTAATAATGCTTAAACATAGCAAAGATGTTTATCATAAACTTTCTGGTATGTTGCCAAGACATCATGGTATTGGTCATGAAAGCTCACAAACTCCCCCCACCCCGTAATTCCCACATTTCTCTTTCATAAGATATAACTTTCCAAATCAGTTGCTTTTAGCAGGCTACTCTTCTGTAAGGTTGAAATTAAGCATAAATTGAAAAAATATCTTTTAGTATTTCATGAAAAGCTCGCTGATTTCAAGTTATAAACTATTAATTATTGGATCATTAAATAGACTTTACAATAATACAGAGAGTGTTAAAGGTATAAGGATAAACTACTCAGAAAGTGTCCTTTCGAATCTGTTTCAAATTTGCAAATTTCACTGTATCAATGAAAAGAACAGTCTTAACAAGGCTTTTGTATGATTGCTAACTGGAAAAGTTCTGGTGTATCAATTGTTTGTAATTGAGGGGCAAGAATCAAGCTATCTTTTCATTGCCTCTTCTTTTATCTAAACTGTGTTACAGGAGTTACTTTATCTTTAGTTTATCTTTCAGAGGAAGCCAAGCATGGTTTCATGGTTAGTGTACATGCAACTATTGACCAGTATTAAAAGGAACAGTTATTCCCATTTATTTAGATCAAGCCAAAGAAGGCCTTTGTGGTTGTTTCTCATCGGCTACCTTCTCTCATTATTCAAAATTAAGAGCGGATATACCTGAATATTAATGGTTTTACCAGGTCTTTTGGCCCATGTTCAAATACACCAATATCAAGCTTTCAAAGATTCATGGATTACTTTTTGAATTGGTATAGTAAAAACAAGAATACTTGTAAACAAGCATACTATCTAAACTTTCAGTCAAAAACGTTTTATATGCTCTTAAATTTACAACTAAACCTTTAATCAGGTAAGTAAAAGGAAGCAATTTTTTATATTTCAGATTTTTAACATGTCCTCCAGGAGCGAATATCAAAAGTAAGTTCAATCCTGAAACTCCAAAAGAGAGTGGTTTTGGACGTATCTTTTCGAGATAACTTCGAAGCAAGTTTTCGTTTGTTAATTGATAGATTTTAAAGTGAAATACAGTATCCTCAAGTCTCCATACTAGCTAGTACTAATGTCTACTTGCTGGAAGTAAATTTAGTATACATTAATAAAGCCCCATTCTCAGCATCATCAATGGAGCAATTGTCAACCTTTTATGCTCCTGCTATCACCTTCTTATATTTAGCTTTCAATTGAAATACGAACAATTTCACCTGTGATTCGGTCGGAAAGGTCGAAGCATCACGATGGTCAGGAGTAGGATGAGCAGACAGGAACATTTTGAAAGTAGCTACAAGCATAATATTGTCCTCAGCTTGCTGCACAATATCTACCAAGGTGGTTCTGAACGGTTGCTGAATACCTCTGCGTGTCATATAGAGACTTCCACGCTTTTTGTGCTTGGCCGTAAAACTCGTGATACGCTAACGGATGTGTCACCTTACCACTTCAAATCACTTTTCTCATCCCCAATGCTAAAAGAGTGTGGGAAATGCCTTCTTTTTAGCCAATAAAAATGTCCATAAAATTTCAGTTCAAATTAAGAAAAACTGGATTGGGTAGTTGTTGGTTTTTCAACAAAAATGTCCCCCACTGGCTCGTGAGGGGCCTGTTAAAAACATTCCAAAGAAGGAACTCGAAAACAAATCAAAGTATGGTTTACTTACTATTCGAGCTCCGTAGGGTTTCTTTACCTTAATTGGTGTCTGAAAAAAAATACACACCTAGTAAGCATAAATCATGATTTCTCATGTAAAAAAATAAACATATAAACGACATCGTAGTGCATTGCAACGCAATTTAATTTTGAAGAAAGTTGCTGATAGATGTAGATTGAAAAAAAGATGGGTCACTTATCATTGGCTATAACTTTTCATTCTTGTTTTTATCTTGTCTTTATTTCATAGTAATCCAATGTTGATGGAATAACCAGATGAACATTTACAGGGTCACATCGTATACCCATCCATAGCTTTGAAATTAGGTTCGTTAAGAGAATGTTACCAAACTTTTTTTTTTCAAGTGTTAGCTTCTAAAATTATGCATCATATTAATAACGAGTTTTGTTTTTATGTCCAATAACAAATTGAAGTACAAAAGTCTCTTTCGTAATAAAACTGATAACGAGTGTAAATTTGAAGTCACAGTATAATTAACATTTGTCGTCAGCATAACTTCACATGTGTTATTTTATAAAGATCAATATTTGAAAGACGGTGTTATTTGATAGTGTTGGGAATTAAAATAAAAAGTTAAGTTTTAAGTATATTTTCAAGCTTAGCATCAGGATACCATTATATAGTGGAATGATAGTGGTGAGCTTATACACGACATCAAAGTATTGATGTTCATAAGACACTAGTAAAACGAACACTAGAAAGTCATCATGTAGACACTAGTCATAATCCTGGAAAGCTGTTAGTATAAATGTAGACACTAGGAATAATCCTGGAAAGCTGGTAGTAAAAATGTAGACTCTATAAATAATCCTGGAAAGCTATTAAATCAAAATGTAGACACTAGGAATAATCCTGGAAAGCTGTTAGTCAAAATGTAAACACTAGGAATAATCCTGGAAAATTGTTATTCAAAATATAGACACTAGGAATAATCCTGGATAGATGTTAAGTAAAAATGTAGACACTAGGAATAATCCTGGAAAGCTGTTATGTCAAAATGTAGACAATAGGAATAATCCTGGAAAATTGTTAAGTGAAATTGTAGAACTGGCAATAATCCTGGATATTTGATCATAAGGCTAGAGTAAGACGTGCGATGTTTCTTATGCAAAATACCTAATATCATATTATGTTAGCTTCGTTTTTAAGAACTGACAATTTACGAAATATTTTACAATAGAATTTAAACGTTCTCAGCTATTTTACTCTCGAGAAAATAAGTATCTTGTATGGTATTCTTTTTAGTATTACAACTGAAAACTTGTATGCTGGATATAATATAGTTTACATTATTTGTATAAGTTCAGATACTTAAAACACACACATAAAGAAACAAATACTGACCTTCTCGAAAAAGTTCCACTTCGATGAAACCTGAATATAAGGAAAATAAAGGTTTAACAATTACTTTCATTGTATCAGTTATGAGCAATGGGCGTGTTTGTGTTAGTGAGAAAAGTACATGTTACAGTGCAACTCACGGGGCCCGGCATGGCCAGGTGGTTAGGGTACTCGACTCGCAATCTGAGAGTCGCGGGTTCGAATCCCCTTCCCACCAAACATGCTCGCCCTTTCAGCCGTGGGGGCGTTATAATGTGACGGTCAATCCCACTATTCGTTGGTACAAGAGTAGCCCAAGAGTTGGAGGTGAGTGGGGATGACTAGCTGCCTTCCCTCTAGTCTTACACTGCTAAATTAGGGATGGCTAGCGCAGATAGCCCTCGTGTAGCTTTGCGGGAAATTCAAAAACAAAACAAACAAGCAACTCACGTAACGTGCCCTCCAGTCCACCCCCCACTGACAAAGCGGTTTGTCTGCGGAATTATACCGCTGTAAACCGGGTTTAGATACTCGTCGTGGGCAGAGCACACATAGCCCATTGTGTAACTTTGTGCTTAACCATAAAAAATAAACAAACACGTAACATGATAGAACATAAATCCACCTGGTGTTGTTTATGATATGAGCTAGATTGTGTATCATTAATTTTCTCAGACGATACAAAATATAAACAATCTTAGAAAACGTATATACTTGAAATGACAAAGTTTGTACGGCTATTTACCGTATTTTGAAGTACTGACTAGAGGGAAGACAGATAGTCAGCAGCATCCTACAACCCATGCTAAAGAATTGACTATCACTCCTATAACGCACGCAGAGCTAAAAGTGCAGGGGAAAAGTTTGTTTTACCACACAGATTGTAGCCCGTCTCACCAGTTCCAAAATCAAGAGCTCATCCAGTAAGTCTAACACGATTGAAAGTTAAGATGTTGTTTCTTGAATTTCACGTAAAGCTACTTGAGTCGCACTAGCCGTCCATAATTTTGAAGTGACATACTAGAAGAAAGACAGCTAGTAAACACCACTCACCGCCAACTCGTGGGTTATTCTAATCGAGAAACTTGATTTAACCGTTAATCTTCTAAAGCATTTACGGCCCCAAACAAGGGAGCGTGATTTTATTTGGCGGTAACGGGGTGCGTACCTCGGAACCTTGGATACGTAGATTGGCACCCTAACCACTGTGACGCGCTTAGCCCGAGAGCTAAGCTCTCGAAATTTCGTATTTTACTAAATTAATGTCAGGTTAATAATCTTCCTAACTTTTTACAAATATTATAATTTATTTCGAGTTATTTTGAGGAAACAGAAGTTAATTTGAGTCAATTTACTTAAATTGTTCAATTCTATACTGCATTAGGCTTAAGTTTGTTTTCCTTGTAGGTATAGTGCCGATGAGACGGTAACAAGTAAGAATGTTTTATAATATCGATCAGCTGAGTTCTGTAATAAATTAGTAGGTCTACACATTAACTGTTAAGTCATTAATGTTTTTGTGAAAAACGAAAATAAAATGGTATTTGTTATTTCTACTTATAGCAAAGGTACTAATGCAATCTGCCTCTGCCCCTAATTCTAAATACTGACCACAGGGAAGGCAGCCAGTCAACCGCACCCTACCCATGCCACCAAACATCACTGTTATAAGAGAGTGACCGTCGCTCTTCTAACGTACACACATCTTTAAGTGTGAGTAATATTCTGTATTAGTGCACATATTTGAACACAGATCGCCAGTTCCAAACTCCAGATATCTACCACAGGGACAACCTGCGGCCTGAATAGTAATCTACCAGAGATAAAAGGAGTTAACATATTAATTTTATGAAAAATAAATATTGATAACATCTTTAAAAAAATGTGCGGAATTAAGAATATAACAAAGAGCTATTTTATTATTTGTGGGAAACAGTAAAAATGGATAGAATTTAGTGTTTGTCTCACCAAAACGTTTTGTTTTTGTTTTTTTACAAAGAATGTTACACTATTTTAGAAGACATTTAGAGAACTTATCCTAGAAGAACATCTAGAACAACATTTGTGGAAACATACACTATCTGATGAGCACTGGTATGCCACGTCATCACTGGATGTAACTGATATAGTGTGATTTATATAGTATTACATTATTCTTCTCCTTTAGTTATAATTTTATATAATTAGTGATCTTAAAGTACATTACGACTTGTCTTTACTCTCATTTATGATTGTCTGTGGAACCAATACATGACAACCACCCTATGACTTAATAGTGCACTAACTTTCTCTAAATTATACCAAACTGCTTGTATGGAGAGTAAAACTAATTATTTGTTATAAATAAAACCTTCGAGTCATGAAAATGATAGTACACGATCTTAATCATGTTACCTGTTATGTCTGTCTTTACGTAGGAAAATATCATATATAATAATAACGATAATAAAGAAATAAGTGTTTAATATTTATAAGAAGCAGACTTTTCTAGAAATCGTAACAAATGTTTTTTTCAATACTTGTTCTAGTTTAATTACATAACGTCATTTAAAGCTTAAAAGTCGGTTGAAATATACAAGGGAAAAATTTGGAATATTTTTAAAGTTAATAACAGTAACAGTAGAATAACTGTACGTAACACTTGACCATAAAATTTGTGTAAATATAAGCCAAATTAGGGCATATAACTGTTAAAGTACTAACTACAAAAAATAGTTCATAAAACACAGAAACATCATTTTATTTTCACTTACAATATAACATTGTTATCAAAACATTAACTGGCACTTACTTCATAGAACACAAAAGTTTCATTGGCGTCTAAGAAGTCGTCAGTGGTATTCCAGGAATGGAATTCTTTGACGATCTGACAGATTCTGTTGGAGTTTGAAGATGGAGCTTTTGCCTGAAAGCTAAACGCTTTACAGCTTGCTTTAAGACACTCGTTTGTACAGGTCTTGAGTGAAGTGACCTGCAGGTTATCAGTTGGAGTGGAACTCGATACAGACTTACCAATCCGAGTTGCTCTGAAACAAGGTAAGGGTATCAGTGCTTGGGATGGCAGTAGTGTTGTTATTAGGAGAAAGGGAATTGACAAGACGTGTACTAAATTAAACATTTTTTTTAGATTTCCTATCTTAGTGTGGGTTTTAGCCGTGTTTGTAATTCTCAGCAGCTGGTAGTGGTCTTGATGACGAGAAGATTATGAGCTAATGCTTGACTGAAAAGAGCAGTAGTTACGGAGCCTGACCTGCGATCAAAGGATGCCGGCGCCTTGATAGGGAAAAAGGGAGAAGTATTGTTTGAGACACTGAGGTCACATGACGTCATAGTTCCTCAGAGTGATACCATAAGGCGGTGTTATTAGGGTGTGTTGCTAGGAGAGAGCAGAAAGTTCCAAAATAAGTCACTAGGCGGCGATGAGATAATGTATGTTGCGCGGGCAGATGTTTCTTATGTGTCTCATTCACGAATCACCAGAGGGTGTTATTAATTGTCAAGTTGTGTCATTTTATGTTGCTATAGTTCTTAACACTATATTAAAGTCAACTTTATAGTTTCACTTCAATAATAAATAAAGGCTTTGAATATGTGTAATTATGTTATATATATTATAGATTGGCTAATTTGTATAGTTTACTTCATGAATATTCATATACTCTTTAATTTACAATCTACGCAAAACATTTAAGCTCAGGATATGTATCCTATGCGTCGTATTCATACACTAATTTAACCTACAATCAGTACAGTTTAATTTTATGGTTCCACATATGACTATACATATAGTAGTTTATCCCACGATCATTAACATTTCAAACTATACCCTCCACTGGGATCCCCCCCCCTCCATTTCGATGTTTTACATATGGATTATTTGTATATTATACTTCATAACTCCGTATAGAGGCATGCTTTTGATAAAAAACATTCACTCTTCATATGCAAACTAATAATCTATGTAGTCCTGAAAATGAATGTCGCCTTGTAAGTAACACGTTCAAACTAAACATATGTATAACCAGTAAAAACACGGTACAGATTGATTTTATTGTTTAAATATATGACTATGCATGTACTAGTTTATTCCGCGATTGCTAAAATGTTAGACACAATTGTCAATTTATTACTTCAATAACAAAGAAAGTGTTTGAATACTTAAAATCAATATTTTATTAGAAATAGAATAAATGTATAGCGTACTTCATGATTTACTGATTTAATTAAATGAAATGTCAACTCTTACCATTTTGTCACAACTTCTACGGTTTTATGCAGAACATTCACATTGAAGTAAAAAACACTAGGACGAAGAAACACATTTAACTTTAAAATTACGCAGACCTAAAACGGATACAAAACGATAAAGGTGCAACCATGATATTCACTTTCTCAAGATTTGATTAGATTGAAAATTATCTTCAGTTATAAATCAATGATAATGCAAAATCGTTTTCTTCTTCCACATCTTCTTCACAAATCCTCATTTGAAAAACTTGATGTCATTTCTTTAGAGCTCCACTTGCCCATTTTGAAAACATTTGCAGAATATCGATGGGCTCAATCATATGCGTGGTCAGTTGAAACAGATTCTTATATACAAGAAACATTGGACACTGACCAAAGTGATTGGACCTAAGATGTTCATCAAATGCTTCTTTGTTTTAAGACAAAAAAAATCGTACGCGTTCATTAGAATTGGACAAATAAAGAATGTATACATGAGTTTCCCAATGTATAGTTATTGCCAATGACTTAACATACCTGCATGAATGTAGAGTGGTTCTTACATCATTACTCACAGATTTTAAAGTTCCAAGATGTTTTTATCCGTTTTTACGTTTGTTTTGATTCGCCCAAAGCTAAACGTCTGCTATCTGCGCTATCCGTCCATAATTTAACAGTGATGGATTAGAAGGAAGTCAACACCACCCACTGCCAACTTTTTTACTTACGAATAGTGCGATTGACCATCATATTATAATGCCCCCATCACTTAAAGGGCGAGCATGTTTGGTATGACAGGGATTCGTCAGACCACGAGAGGCCTAACT